CACAAAACCATGGTCATGCATTTCATGGCCTAATGTCACGCCACCACACTTCATTACTTTGCCCACGCGCTCAACCTCTCGCTCAGTAAGATGAGACTGCATGAGAAGAACACGAACCACATGCACAAACCGCTTTAGGCAACATGCGTGCATGCACAAGCCAACGTACTTATGGAAAACCCCAGCACTAGAGGGCAACCCGGCCTTTCATTAGGTTAATCACAACACGGGAGCTCTGCTTCCAGCCAGTGATCTTATCCCTGCTTCCATACCCTCCAGTTGAACATCTGTGCTGCTGCTGCTCACACCCACACTGCCACTGCTACTGCTGCCAGAAGGCTGCTTCCAAGCCCACCTCCTGGTCGTAATCGCTCAGTGCTGCAGTGGCTGCTACAGCTGCTGCTCACACCCACACTGCTGCCACACAACTCCCCGCTCAGGGGGCCCCCGACACCGCTCTGCTTCCAGCCAGTGGTCTTATCCCTGCTTCCACACCCTCCCCACTCAGGGCGCCACACAACTCCCCACTCAGGGCGCCCCCACCACTCCTCTGCTCCCAGCCAGCGGTCTTATCCCTGCTTCCATACCCTCTAGCTGAACCCCCGTGCTGCTGCTGCTGACACCCACACTACCACTGCTACTGCTGCCACTTCTGTTGCTCACACTCACACCGCCACAGCCGCCGCTGCTGCCACTACCGCTGCTCCCACCCCCCCCACTCATGCTGTGCACCCCAATGCCGCTGTAGTGCGGCCGTAACGGGGTGTACGCGACTCTGCCAACCCCGCTGTTGCTAACACCGAGGCTGCTTATAAAGGAGACGAAAGCAGCTACCGTGCTGTTACTCATGGCCTGCGCCCAAAGCCTCTGCGCCCAGAGGGTCTTAGAGAGAGGCGGGACGAGCGCGAGAATGGCTACTAGGAATAAAGCCGCAATAGTAGGCGCGTCGTAGAGGTCCGAGAGCGAATTAATAGTCGACAACACGCACCCGGCTTTAACTTGAATCACACTAGAGGGAATGAATCCGAAGAAGGTTCCAATGAGGTAGATTCGGATGGGTATGCCGACGAGCGGGGAGCAGAGATTAACTACCCAGGTAGGCATGATGGGGGTGATTCGGAGGGAGATGACATAGTAGATTAAAGACGTGTAGTGCCGCTGGACTTCGGTCCGCATCCAGTCGCACTTATCCGGGAAGTAATAGTAGACTATGTCTCTCAGGAGGAAGTGGGAGATGGTGTACGACGCGCAGGAACCCGCAGAAATCAGGATACTGATCGTGAATAACCCTGGTAAAAACCCGAACAGCGACCCGGCGAGCAGGTTCATACAGATAGTCCCCGGGATGCAAAACGACTGCAGGAAGAGGTAGAGATTGACGAAAATGACGACCACTCGAAGCGGGAATTCTTTCTTGTAGAGCGCGAGAGTGGCGCGCACAGCTCTGAGCTCAGCCATGTTGCGAGGGATGCGGAGGAGAAGGACAACCTCTAATTCATCCTCTGAATCGTATGACAAGTCCATGTCGTCGTCTTCTAAGTCCCCCTCCCCTCCGTCCCCGTCCCCTTCCTCCTCCTCCCCTTCTCCTCCCTCCCCCCCTCCTCCTCCTGTGCCTGCTTCTCCTGATTCTCCTGCTTCTCCTGCGTGCCTGATTTCCCCCATGTCCCCTCTCTCCACCCCGTCATCTTCGTTTTCCTCGTCTGCTAGCGAGGCGGCTGCACCAACAGCAGCAGCGTCGATCGGGAAATCGAAGTCTGAGTTGTCTAACGACCCTGATACCACCACAGGACCGCGCTGCTGCTGCTGCTGCGAGTCCCCTCCTGGGAAAACGCGGCTGGTGCTGCCTTGACTGTTGCTGGCATTGCTGGCACTCTCCCTGTCACTGCTGCCAATTCTGCTGCTGTTGCTGCTTCTGGAACCAGTCATATCCCCCACGCCTGTCTCAGCTCCTGCTGACGTGGACCCACTTATCCGCTCCCGATTTCGTGCTGACGCCTTAACCCACTCGGACTCGTCCAGGTCAGCAGTGAGATCCGGGATGCCTGCCACCTCATCATCCTCCACTGCCCCATCCTGCAGCAGCTCCTGCTTCAGTTGCTCTTGATCCGCCTTCACATCACCTATCCCATTACCTGAATTTTCACCTGAATTTTCATCTCCAAGCCCATTACCACTGCTGCTCGTGCTGCTGTCCACACCACCGCTCTCGCTACTGTCACTGCCGTCCCCTACATTTCTCCCGTTACTGTCAGCCATGTTAGTGCCATCCTCCCTCTGCCCGTCCAATGCAGCCTCCCAGTTGCCATCCCCAATGCTACTCCTACTGCTGCTGCTGCTGCTGATGCTGCTGTCTCTGCTGCCTCGGCTGCTGCTAGATTCTGAACCTGTGCCGCTTCCAGCCAGTCCCTGGGTCCTGCCTTCACCTGCAAACCCTCCCCCAGTAACATTCTGAGAACTGTACACTCTATCCCTCTCGTCAATCCCTATGCTGCTCCCGCCAACCCTGCTTCTGCCGGCGATTGCACCGCTGGTTCCTATGATGCCGTTATTTCCAATCGTGTTTCCGTGAGGAAGTGTATCGTGTAGTTTACTGTACCCTTTGTTTCCCTCGTGCATGAAATTCGCCTCCTTAGTTCCGAACAGCCCGCTCACGCGAACCCCGTGATTCTCTCTTCGCAGTCTGTTCCGCTGAATGGCCTGTAACGTGTGGACACGTGGCAGCATGAGAAACGACGACAGCACGAACGTGAGCCACGCGAAGAAGAGAACAGCCAATAGCAGCAGCCGGCGGCTCCATTGCGAGCCGAGAATCGCGGAGACTCCTGCGACCAACCGCTGCTCGTTCACGGGACTTAGAAGCCCTAAGTTGCTGTTATTGCCTAGGATCCCTAAGCTGCCGCTGCCGCCGGCGCTGCTGCCGTAACTGACGTGGTTTGACGGGCTCGTCATTGTTGCGGGGGCTTGCTAGTGATGATGTGACATAAACGAGGTTTTCCCATGAGGGAAGATCGGAATCCGGGGATTTCCGAGAATGAGGGGACACGCTAGCGTTGGGACCGATACGGACGTGCGAAATACCGCGCGAAATCTACTGTAACAGGAAGCAGGGTAACCGACGGAAGGACGGGTAATGGGATGTATGAGGAACAAGACCAGGGAGACGGCTCTATTTCAAAAGGTTTCGCGCCGACGGGAACTTAGTATGCGAGCGAGATGGAAAGGTGGAGGCGGGAGAACTGATGGAAGATACGCGTTTGTGTAACGCAAGAAAGCCTTCATGCGACAAGAGTTGTGTGAGGTTCAGATTCTCGATCCTATTACACAACAGACGGAGATGCCCAGGCTGCTTGTTCTTGAGGGGATGTTCGCCAGCACCAAACCAAGAGCTAACGACGGGATCAGGAAGGTGGGTCTCGCCTTCCTGATCCCGTCAGTTAGGGTTCGTTTACCTCCGTCAGCCTGGTCAGCCCGTGAAGAATGCGCCGAGCCTCACCTACCGTCCAAACCAACAAACAAAGTGGGCGTCTGGCGAACGCCCACTTTTGTCCACCAAATTTTACGATTCGACGGCATATGGAAGCGGGGACGAAACTTCGTCCCCAGGCAAAATACCATACCCAAGCCATGCCATCGTCATGCCGCGTTTTTCGAAACACAGCGATGGCACAGCCGTCGCTTCGCCGTTCAAAAGGGATTGGGGGGAAGGTGGGATGGAGGTTCCCGATGCAGTTGCGAAATTTCGCAGAAGTTTCCTGAACGGCATTACGGCCAAACCTCGGAGGTTGGTTCCGCCTCCGTTTCCAGATGCGGTCGCGATGCCGACGCCATCTTTTTCATTTCAAAATACGATTTGCTGGCGAACAGCACCTGAGTGTCTGCCGGGTATTCCCTGAGTCGCGATTATGGAGGGAAACCGCGTTTCCTCGGCCCTGATTTCCTCGACTCTGACGCACAACCATCGGAGAGGTCGCGACTTTGTGCCGACAATAGCTGCCTCGAGAGTATGAGGACGACCCAGTGTAGTTGGGGCTGCTGGACTAGGCCTACATAATGCACTTTGTGCAGTGAAAGATGGGTTTGGGAAAGTATGTGTAGGTGGAAACGTGTAGTGCAATTCAAAGGTATGCTGCATCAACGTTTCTTATTGCCGTATTCGGGCATTTCTATACCGAAAATTTCCAGCCTCGGGAAAATCGCCTCGAGAGCTGGATCAATCATCGTTCGCGACGATCTGAAGAACTTGACAAACACCAGAAGCGAAGATTTGCGAGTCTCGCCACTGGACATTCCATCCAAGAGTAACATGAGCGCTGATACACGCAGCTCGGACCTTGGTGTGAGAAGGGAAAGTTAGGCGTAAGGCAGGCGTGGACAAGGCGTGAACCAGCAGCAACTGTGGTTTCATTTCATGACTTAGCCGCCATCACTGATGATGTTCGTGACATCTGAGGCACTGCTGTGTTCTCCAGCTGCTCGCTGTTGCTATTTACTCATGACGACTACCATTAGGCGAGATTTCGCGACCCTGGTTCCATTACCTAGACTGGTTTTGGTGGTTACGCCATGGATTCTCAGTCTGGCGGGCCTAGAGTCGGCAGTAAACGTGGCCGGGAATTTGACAAAACTGGATCAAAGAGGAATGCTAAGAACAGAAAGCGTGATAGACGTCGGAATCGTGGTGGAAAGTGGAGCGAAGGAAACAGAAATGAAGGAGGAAGCGGAAATAACGAGAGTAGAAATGGAGAGAGTGATGCGATTGAAGGATGCCATGGAGGAGAGAAAGGGAACGACAGGATTAGTGACGGGGTAGAAAACGGGAAGGATGTAAACAAAAGTGAAGGAAAAGGGACGGAAAAGTCAGAGTCAAGTCGCCCGAGGTTTTGGACATTCATGCCGAACGACAGACCACTCACGAATCAGTTTCAAATGAGAAGATTCGTCCTCGCAATGGCAGCTCACGATGCTTCAGGTAATAGTAGATTAGTAAGTACGAACGCTGGATGTTGCAAGGGAGCACCGGCTTCTAACACATGTTCGTCCTCGCAGATTTGGTCATTGACCTCGCGAATGACAAGTATTTCGGCAGGAAGAAGCTGATCAGTATCTGTCAGGAAGCTGTTGCATGCGGTTCTTCAGATTCAGTTGCAGCTGGAAACATTTCCAAGAGAGTTTCCTTCCAGAGTGTTCTGTTGCCATTGTTGCGAGTCGTTTGCCAGGTACCAATCCGTGATTCTGCTCGTATTCATTTTATCTTCGTTAGTTCCTGAACATCCCACATTGGTTTATGTTCCGTTGCATTTTCAGCCCGAGTTTTGCAACAACCCTGCTTCGAGCAAGGTTAACACGACCCTCGCAACCATGGTTGAAGTGGAAGGGTTTCAAGAGTACCTCGTCAACTGCATGAGGCTTCTGACTGAAAGGGGAACAATAGGCGACCCCGAGAAAAACGACGACGGCGTCAAGGACTGGGACACGGCATTTCAGATTATCATCAACTTTTTTCATGTGACAATGGACCGTTTCCACTCCTTGTTTGACGCTACACAAGCCAGCACTGACATGCAGCAGCTTGAAGCCATGCTTCAGAAATGGCAGATTGAGAAGCCAGTGTCTGATGGAAAGTACCATAGCCTCCACTCAGCCATTCGCAGGCTGAGGAAGTCTCTTGATAGGCGCAGTCATTGCGAAAGACAGAGGCAGAGCACGGAAATTGGCCAGACGCCAGTTGAAGTCTTCTACGATCCAGGTTCGTCATGGAACAGCAAAAAGGAGTTTCGACTTCTTTTTGTGTCTTGTGAAATTTTATGACATTGTTGTGCTTCGCTGTTGCAGGTCAAAAGCTTTTGACCAAGCAAGCTGTGGATGGTCCGGGTGAACTCAGCTTAGCTGGCCACCCGAGGCATGATAATGACCATGCAGACATCTCAGCCGTAAGATGTTACCATGTGATGAGTGATAAACATTTCCATGTCAATTTCTGTTTCTAGATTGATACGGACATATTCTCATAACGTCTCCTTATTTGCCACGCAGATTTCCGTGGCTCCAACCATGGAAGAAGTTCTTTGCGATGTCCCTCCTTATCTGCCCCGTAATAATATGGAGGCGCGTCATCACCTCCCTGCTGGCTCTGTAGGACGCCATGTCGACATCCAGTTCCGCCTCCTCAGGCACGACCTCGTTGCTCCTCTCTGGAATAAGGCCTTCTTTCTGTTGGAAAGTTTGAAGCGCGAAAGCTCCAATCGTGAAAGCAGCAGCGCCAGCAGGGAAGGGGCCATGATGGGTCTCGTGAAGGTGGACCGAAGCTTAGTGAAGGGTCTGGCTGTGAACATGAAGGGATTCGTGGGATTTTCCTCAGAGGACATGGATATGTACATGCTTCAGGATGTCCGGGTCCTGTCAATCAATGCAGATAAGAAGAATGGTGTCTATTTTCTGATCGATTTCATGGAGCCACCAATTTCACAAGGTCACCGTTCTTGTAGCAGGTACGTGAAATTAGTGGAGTGAATGCCATCTATTAAGCTCATAGTTCAAGTCTCTGCACAGCACACTGATTTTCTGTTTGATGTGTTTCAGGGTGGAGTTCTGGGAGCATACAAAGAGGCTCCAGAATGGCTCTCTTGTTTGCCTGTGGATTCAGGACATCCATCAGGATTACAGGGAAGCTCGAGGATGTCAGAAGCTTGTCTTTGCAACCATCACAGCCCGAGACACTCGGAAGCTAGCTAATCAGCGGCCTCAGATAGGAGTCCAGCCTTGTCAAAATAATCGGTTCAGTGAAGAATTGTTGGAGCTCATCTCCTCTGATGGCTCTGCTAACAAGCGAGTCTTCATGCTGGAAGCCCATGGGAGCTTTTTTGCCTATGAGCCGATTCTGAAGGCACTGCAGAACATCAGTGAAGCATCATTTCCGTTCTCTGAATACATCTGTGATGCACCTGATGGCGCTTCTGAGAGTCCGAAGACCAAGCTTCCAGCATATGTCGATGACAGCATGCAGTAAGTGATGGGAAGAAAACACAGAAATATAATGAGTTGGGGGGAAAAAGGAGAATAGTGCGTCTAAATGGTCTATTTTGAGACTTAGCATTGCAGCTAATGTTCCTCTTGTCTTGTCCCTTGCAGCTATGACCTGAGCTTGCTGGTTCAGACCAAGTCCTCGCCTTCCCAGCAAGTTTCTCCAGACGATTGGTTTTCCATTATGAACGTTCCAATCTCCGAGCCTGACGAATTTCCGATTGATGTTCTGATGCGTTGCACATCGCTGGACCACCCTCAATGCATGGCTCTCCAAGCTGGCTTGACTCAAGAGTTCGCCCTGATCCAAGGGCTACCGGGAACCGGCAAGGCGAGCATTTCCAGAAAACGCCAATCTAATGCATCATTACCACCACTGAAGCTTGCGTAAGAGCTAGTTGGTACATCTTTTACTAACCTTCGCCATGCAATCAAATGCAGACTTTTGTTGGAATCAAGCTTGTGGAAGTTCTTCTGAACAACGCCTTTGCGAATGCGGTGGATGATGGCGAGAAGGATAATTCCATGGGCCCGATTCTCTGTGTGTGCTTCACCAATCATGCTCTCGACCAGTTCCTGGAGGGCTTGATCGCAAGTGGCATAAAGAATGTAACTTTAGTAGTTATACCTGATTTCACTTCGCTGATTTTTCTGGTTATCATGCTGCCTTAGTTAGATTTCTCTATCCTCCCCAAGGCAGTTCTGCCATTCAAAGTGCAAAGGGCTGCAATGAGCGCTAAGGCTACCATATGCTGCTTCATAATTCGCAGGTGGTACGAGTTGGCGGTAGAAGCAAGTCCGAGTCCCTGCAGAAGTACAACCTCTTCAACATCATCCAAGGGTACTCTCCCCACCACAGCCGGAGTAAGTTTGTCAACTCTCAAGGCCGTTAAAAGAAGCAAGAAAGAAAAAATGTTCACCATCGAATTGAGGGATTGTATCCTGTGTGCATATATGCAGGCTACAGAAACTCAATGTTTTCGGTTCACAGCAGGATGAGAGAGGTTGAAAGAGTGATTGCAACCTACAGCGAGGCCTTGCGGCTCAGAAAGGACAACTTCCAGGCCATATCATGGGGCTTGATTTCCCCGCATTTGATGGCGAACCACCCTGTGTTCTTTGAGGCCCTTCAAAGCCCTGTGGAGACCGAGACTTACGATTCAAAGGTGATTGATGCTCGATGATCATGATTCAGTCCATTTTGCAGTCTTGACATAAACCAACCTTATTCTTGCAGAATGTGGCACCTGATTACTGGCACGATTGGAAGCGGGGCCGGACGAAGGAAGCTGTTGTTCTTGGAATCAAAGTATCCAAGGATGACGTAATGAAGCGTGCACGGGAAGTTGCGATCGCAACAGTAAGCCAAGGGGCAGCAGTCACAGAGATTGCACGGGCAGTGGATGCCTCAAGTGACAGAGCATTGGAAGACCTGTTGGAAGTGGCAGATCCGTGGGCGACCAGCTTACAGGAGAGACTGAAGCTTCTGAGGCATTGGTTGGAGGAGCTCAAGGCGACTGCCAATGCTGCTATCGAAGCGGAGGTTCGCAATCATGCAAAGTACGTTTTAATGCTTCTGGTCAGTTGTTTCGGTCAAGTTTTTGTGAGCATTGAGAGGGGAAATGTGATACGGATGGGCATCAGAAATGTGATATGGAGAGCCAATTTGTGACTGTGCAATGCAATGCGTGCAGGAAGGTGGCGGAGAGTCGGGAGCTCATGGATATTGAGGACCTGCAGGTGTTGAGAAAGGCGCAGGTGGTGGGTATGACCACATCCGGGGTGGCTAAGATGCAGCGCCTCATCACGGCGCTCGGCCCGCGAGTCATCATCGTGGAGGAGGCTGCTGAGGTGCTGGAGGCACACATCCTCACCTCGCTCACCCCACAGGCACAGCACGTCATACTCATAGGTACGGCACATCATCCATCATTTTCTTGCCTATTCAGCCTGATTGTGGCAATGTGCACGCATGCTACGCTGGTATCTGAGTTCGTATGATTTTGTCATGTGCATGGCCGCATGAGGTCCATGTGACTATGGTCCAATCTAAAACCTTACACTTAAACAGAAAGTGAAGGTTTTTATGCTGAGGTTTCCTTTCTCTTTCTCTTGGTCGAGTACACCCAATGGCTTGATTCCTTTCTGTTGTTGTCTGAACACTCATGTTGAAATGGCAGGTGACCACCTGCAGCTGAGGCCCAAGGTGGAGGTGTACGAGCTGAGCAAGGACTCCCACAAGGGCTTCGACCTGGACGTCTCTCTCTTCGAACGCCTGGCGCTCTCTCGACACATCCCTGTGTACACCCTCGCCACTCAGCGCCGCATGCGTCCGGAAATTGCGGACCTCATCCGCAGCACCATCTACCCGCAGCTCACAGATCATCCATCCGTCCAGAACTACCCCGACGTTCGTGGCATGGCAACAAACCTGCATTTCTGGGACCATGACAGCCCTGAGAAGGGCGGGGATTACTTGAACGAGTCAAAGTCCAAGACAAACGAGGGAGAGGTGGACATGGTGGTGGGGCTGGCTACGTATCTACTGCAGCAGGGGTATGCAGGAGGGGAGATCACCATCCTCACCCCGTATGTTGGCCAGCTGCTGAAGCTACGCCAGGCGCTCTCCCATGTGGTCAATGTGAGGCTGGGGGAGAGTGATGCTGAGGTGGTGGAGGAGGCGGAGGAGAAGGCTGCAGCTAGAGACGGTGGATCCAGGGAACGTGATGACAGGAGCAAGGGAGGCTCGTCACACGGCTCTTGGTCGCAGAGCAAGGGGCCGGGACCTGGTGGGAGCCCTCCCGTGCAATTTACGGCGGATTTGAAGGATGAAGTGCGGTTGGCTACGTTTGACAAGTAAGTCCTTTATTTTCAGATGTAGCTGATTCTAAATTATGCATGGATGAACGAACCAGCGACACCAGATTGAAGCCTGTTAGGAATTACTCAAGACAATAATTCTGCACTTTGCTTTTCCTCATATGCAGTTTCCAGGGCGAGGAGAGCACGGTGATCATCATTTCACTCGTACGGAACAACGGAGATGGCAAGATTGGGTTCCTCAAGAGCCCCAACCGCACCAACGTGCTGCTGTCCCGCGCCAAGCATGGCATGTACATAGTCGGTGAGTCTTATACCTCCGCATGGATACTAGATGGGGGATAATTCATGCCAAATGCTGCACCCATGTGCTGCTCTCCCGCGCCAAGGCATGGCTTGTACATCGTTGGTGAGAGAGTGAGTGATATCCCTGTGGTGTATGGCTGATGCTTTTGTGCTCTCTGACCATGAACTACCCTAAAACCACTGGAGATAAGCATGCTCGAATTCTCACATGTCTGATGCTTTTGTGCACTCCCCAATCTTCTTGCTCCATTTTCCGCCCTTTGAACAGGAAATGCCAGCACGATGAAAGCTGACCCCAAGTCTGTGCTTTGGCCTAAGGTCCTGAACATCCTGCAGAGCAAAGACCGCATCCAGAAGTTCATTCCGCTGCAGTGTATCAACCACCCTGACACCATCACGCACATTGAGAATGCGAGCGACTTCAAGGAGAAGGCAAGCGAGGGCGGATGCTCCCAGATGTGCGGCTTCAGACTAGTGCCTTGTGGGCACACCTGTCCTCGCAGGTCAGTGAACAAATATATGTGTGTTCACACTGTGCCACAGTTAAAATCTACAACCGTACACTTGCTCGCATAACATTCACATGCCTTCCTGAGTTGGAGTCGAAGCATCTCAAGATTCACATGGCTTCCTGAGTTGGAGTCGAAGCATCTCAAGTGTCCTTTGCAATATCTGCTGCAACAGGTGCCACGTGGACGACAGGGCACACGCCAAGACATTCTGCCCCAAGGAATGTAACCGCATACGGCCTCTGGATCAGTGCCCATACCAGCACCCGTGCCCTAAACAATGTGGGGAGGATTGTGGCGAATGCAAGGCACTGGTCAAATCAATCACACTTCCTTGTGGGCATAAGGCAGTCAACGTTCCGTGCTTCCAGGCACAACGACCATCTTTGATTCCTTGCTCGTGAGTTTTCCTCTTTGTCCTGCTCTTGTCATGTTTGAGCAGTGTGACAGGTGTGATGCTTACATGCACCATCTCATCATTTCTGCTGCTGCTGCAGCACAGTATCATGGCTGGATGCTACAGCGCGTATAGATGCTGAATATGCGTGAGCCCTGTGTATCCAATGCGGGCCCTCTTGGTGCTTGTATGCACAGCTTCAGTGCTGGCCGAATCTCATTATGTTCACTGGATGAGGTGTCACTTCTCCTCACACTTCTCTCTCATGTGTGCCACCCTCGGGACACGTTCCCGCCCATTCAAACATTCACGTGGACCTCAATGATGGCAGGTCATCGGTGGAAGTCACCATGCCTCTGTGCGGCCACAAGCAGATGGTCAAGTGCAGTGAGGCCGCCACCAGGCAGAGCAACCCCAAGCTCTGCACAGCTCGTTGCGGGGTGGTTCTTTCAGATTCCTGTGGGCATGAGTGCAACTATCGCTGTGGTGAATGCATCATTGCCCCAGATGACGAAGTTAAGCAGGAGCGGCAGGGACAGGATCAGCAGGCCCCTAACCGTCAGCAGCAGCAGCAACAGCAACAGGAAGGAGGGGAAATGGAAGTCTCAACAGCAAGTGTTCAAAAGAAGCACAAGGTGTGCATCCTTCCGTGCAAGAGACCCCACCCATGCGGGCACCTATGCTCTGATATCTGTCACGATGGCAAGGACTGCAAACCATGCCGTAAAAAGTGCCTCGTTTCCTGCCAGCACAGCTCCTGCTCCCAGTCCTGCCACCGAACCTGTGCCCCATGCGCCGAGCCTTGCGGCTGGTTCTGCAAGCACCAGGGTCAGTGCTCTCTTCCCTGTGGAGCCCCCTGTGACCGCCTTCCCTGCGACAAACGCTGTGAGAAAAAACTCAGATGCGGCCACCAGTGCCCCTCCTTGTGCGGAGAAAAATGCCCCTCTACCGATTATTGCACTGCTCCCAAATGCGGGTCCAAGCCTAAAAAGGAGCATATGGTGGATCTGGTGACGCTGGAGACGCTAGGGGAGACGAGAATCCCATTCTCGTTCTGGCATGTGGGCATGCGTATACCGTGGAGACCCTCGATGGCCACCTTGGGCTGGATGAGGTGTATCTGCAGTCCAAACCACTGGGTGGCGCTGGTGGTGGTGGTTCAAACGGTACTGGCACGGATGGTTTTGGTGCTGTTGGGGCTGCGGCTGGTGGGAGTGGTGCTCCTGAGGATAGGTTTGGTGGGGGTGGTGCTGCTGAAAATACTTCTGGTGGGAGGGGTGCTATTGGAGATGGGACTGCAGGCAAGTGGTTGGCAGTGCTGCCGTTTGAGAATGGCAATCTCTCAGCTCTCAAGGGCTGCCCTGATTGTCGCCATCCAATCACAGGGCTCCGACGCTACGGCAGAATGGTCAACAAGGCTTTATTGGACCAATCAGAGCGCAAGTTTGTTGTCGAATGTTCCGCTGACCAGGAGTCAGCCCAACGGAGACTGTCTCGGCTTAGCCGAGCTGTGGCTAGGTGCTCTGGGGATTCTTCACCAAAGCACCTAGACGAGTTGGGTCAGTCTGTGACAGCGTTCATGGCCGAAGCAGAACGCCTGCGTGCTGCATCCATGAATCCGCCCACATGGAAGACATATCAGGCGTCCATAGCAGCTCTGCAGAGGAAGCACGCCCTTTTGGGGGGTCCGGCATGGAGTGGTGGGGGAGGTGCTGCGAGTGGTGGTGATTTTCCTGCAGCAACAGCGTTGGAGGAGGAATGCCGTCTGCTCTATGTTCCCCAGCCAGATGCGCGACCGCCTTGCGAATCGCTCATCATTCTGGCAAAGTGCCATGAGCTTCTCATGACTCTAAACCTCCTCCAGTTGCGGGACCACCTGAGGAATCTCCGAAATGCAACTGGGCAGAGAAGTGCTTTCACTACAGAGCATTTTTACCAGCATGTTCGTAATTGCAGAATCACAGTGCACGCGTGCCTGAACAATGCGCGTGAGTGTCTTGTGGGGGCGGTGGATTGGGCTGGCAAGTGCAAGGCACACCGACTGGAGGCAAGGGCACAATTGGAGCTGGTTGGTGTGTACCGTGCCTTCGTGGAAGGGATGATGGCGGAACGTCTGCTGTCTAGCTCCAGTGTTGACCAGGTAAGTCATGCAATTTCTGTTTCAATGACTACATTCTCACATTTGTGCATGGACCGTGTTTCCTCAGCATGTGCCTCCTCTGCATATGGGGGTTTTGTTCTGACTCGTTTATATTTATGTTGCATGTGTCTCTGCAGAATCGATCAAAGGCTTTACAGCTGGAGTATCTTGAGAAGGCTAAGATCCTGTGCCACATGGTGGCCTATCAACCCATGGTCTCTGTCAGTAACAATGCCCTTGGGGAGAGAGCCAGGAAAATGTTACAGGACGAGTTACCTGCTCTGGAAACATCTGTCCAGGACGAACCTAGGTACTTCGTCCTGACAGAGCGGGAAAAGGATGAGGTGTACAGGGCAATGGGCTTTGGGGCAGGACATTGGTATCGGTGCCGAAATGGGCATGTGGCGGTGCAATGCAGGAGTCTCGCTGTCCTGAGTGTGGAGAGGTCGTGGGTGGGAGTGGTCATCAGCTTCGAGAAGGGAACACTTCCGCAGCTGATTTCTTCAGTGGTCTCAATCAGAGATCTCTTAGGGTTTTTGTTACTCTCTAGGGGCTCAACTTCTTAGTGTGTCTCTTTAGGGGCTCAAGTTTGTACCATGTAGTTTTTTTTCTTGAAAATACTTTTTTTCTGATTCGTCTACCTAGATGGCCTTTAACCTATGTGCAGGATTTCCGTCTTGTTCACAAGTTTAGGTAGGTAGGAACACCCCTATTATCGTACTAGTTCTAAGCAATTACAGTCCAGTTCTGATTTTTAGGTGTTACAAATCCTCCTCGTCCAAACCAACGTTCTGGAATCTCAGCCGCACCGTCTCAATTGATGTCAGCAAACCGCCTTCTGATTGGCTGTTGCAGATCCCGCTTCAAAGACAGCATCGAGGTCCAGAAACCGGGTAACTCGAATATCGCAACTGAAGCAAGTCACAAGGGAAGAGCTGGTGCGATTTTCTGCTGCGAAATAACTGGCGGAGTCTCTTTTGACCAACCCCTCGTTTTCATTCGAACCTTCGCAAATTCGCAAGCAGGCGACAAACCACACTTGGATAAGTGGAGCATCCATACATGCTGGGTTTGTGCTACTGTACCACCCCTATCCCATGCCATCCGTTCCCAAGGCAACCGCGGTGACAACACCCTTGTAAGCTGAACTTGGTCGAAGTTGTGGTGTGAAAGAGTTGGTTCTCTACAACCCTAACTTACGGGTCCCTGTTCGCCATAACCCTTAGGTTCGCTAGCCGTCTCTGACGGTAGTCTTTACAACTGAGCTTGTATTCCGTGAATTCTTAGGATAAAATCCATTTAACATCACCTTGGTTCGGCTTTTCAAACCTGTGGTGTTGGTAGATTTTTATTAGCATTTGGTCGCGGGAGATAAGATGTTTGGGTCAGGGAAGCTGCCGGATGTGCACTTGCTCATCTCGTCATGGCTAGAGAAAGGGGAGGGGAAGGACCGCACAGTCCGAGATGAAGCGTACGAGGCTTTAGCTGGAGCTTACGCCTTCGTCGGCATGGTGGCTCTGGTAAATGATCATCCGTCGGTTTCTTTTTTTTGAAACGCGTTTCTGTGTTATCGTTTTCTCGGTTCTTGAGTAGAAATAGAACATTGGGGTGATCAGATCGGCTAAGAAGTTTCCGAATGTCGTTGAGAGTGTCATGGAGAGTGCACGCGGCTCTTATTTCTCACAATTCAGTGCCTGTAAATATTGGACCTTCAGCTCCAAGGCTTTTAGTAATTCAAGTCTTTAGAAGGTCGCTTCCAATCGTCGTTGTTGGTTCATGTGGTCGTTTGTTTTCAGCGTTGTTCACTTGCCCTAGTTCACATCGACGGGTATCGTCGGTTCGCTTCCAGTCTACGTCGACGGCTATCGCCGGCTCTGTAAACCGCCAGTATCACTGACTGATGGGAGCGATGTGACGTGTAGTCTCACCCCCACGAGATCGCTTTCAATGCGTGCTCCTTGCTTTCTTATTTTCTCTCTCACTATTATGGCTTTTTGTTCTCATTTTTACCCGTTTATCCGTGTTCGCCCTATTTCTCGGTCTCAGATCCAGCTTATTCGTATTCAGCGCAGAGTGCCCGAGTACGGATGGACGACGCAGAAGGTCTTCCACCTCCTCAACTTCGTCGTCAATGCCTGTACGTCGCCGCCGTCGTCGTCATTGTCGTTAACGCGTTGTGGTTACCACCTGGTAGTTCGTGTACGTTATGGATGTCCACTCAAAGCCTCTACGGCTGGACCACGCAGAAGGTCTTCCACCTCCTTAACTTCATCGTCAATGCCTGTACCTGTACGTCTCCGTCGCCGTCGCCGTCGCCGCCGTCGTCGTCGTCGTTAAACTGTCCACCTACGTCCTCGTGATGCATGTGCCCGTTAACGCTATCTACTTCACGAATAGACGGCTGCGCCTCTCAGAAGGTCTTCCACTGACTAACTCACCCGAGGGGTAGCTCGCACGCGGTATGATTCACACGCGCTAGAACTCACACGCGTTACAGCTCTCACTCACTCCTGCTCTCATTCGCGCGCACGCATTCTCACGCTTATGTATTACCGTTTTGTACCGATATTTCACTGTTTCCCGCCTTTCTCGCTTTCCCTCTGCAGTGCGAGCCGTGGTGTTTTTCTTCCGCGAGGAGGTGGAGGTTCTAAGCAAGGGCGACAACCATGTGAGTCGCGATTCCCTGATTGATGTGCCAGAGTCAGTATGATTTCTCAATCCCGTGTCCCAGCCCACCCACTTGCAGCTGTTTACCTCTTATCTTTTTGGCTTTCGATTTCGTTTTCGTCTCGTCCGTTCGTCTTACCTTAGTATCATCGATCAAACATTTCCCTCCCCCTTTCCCCTCTCCCCCTTTCCCCCTCCCCTTCCCCCACCCGAAACCTTCCTTTTTGTTTTGTTGTGCTTCTCTGCGCCAGGTATTCGCGCACGTGCTTCTGGACCTCCCGGGCCTTCTCTGTTTTGAGGCGCCTCACCCCCCCCCCCCCCCCCCCCCCCCCCCCTCCCTCCCCCCTCCTTCCTCCTTTTCCTGTGTTCGTGTGCTTCTCTGCACCAGGTATTCGCACACGTGCTTCTGGACCTCCCGGGTCTTCTCTTCTTCACCACCTACACCCTGCTCGTGCTCTTCTGGGCCGAGATCTACCACCAGGTGAGCATCCGACGGTTGATCGACCTCTTTCTTTCTCCTTTTTAATTCAACCACTTGTGATGCAATGTATTTTTCTACGCCTGATGTTTTCCCCATAGTTTGTGTCTTGTATACCTTGTATACCCTCTGCGCTCTTTTTTTTTCCGCGACCTCCTCTCCGCCTCTCTTCCAGGCCGCATTGCAGTCGACACAAAAGCTCTTCCCGTTCTCTTTCCTCCCCTCCCCCCCCCCCCCTCTCTTCCCCCGTCCTCGTCCCTCCCTTTCAGGCGCGCGGTTTACCGACGGACAACCTGCGGCCGTACTTCATGGCCGCCAACGTTGGCGTCTACGTGCTGCAGGTAAGGTTCTGATGAGGAGTCCAGTGCGGTTCAGATGGGTGCTGTGAGGTACCTCATGTTCTTCGGCCTGCCGACGGACAACCTGCGGCCATACTTCATGGCGGCCAACGTCGGCGTCTACGTGCTGCAGGTGAGGGTTCTGAGGAGTCTTTTGCGGTTCCGATGGATGCTGTGAGGTAACCGCATGTTCTGTGGTCCTAGTACCATACGTCGACCTCCCGCTTCCCACCTCCCCGTCCTGTGTGCCCTCCTTTCTCCATCGATCTTCCCTCTTCCTCTCCTCTCCCCAGGCGGCCATCTGGCTGTCATGTCCTACTTTTGAGAAACGCAAAAGTCACATTCAACATACGTGGTTGGACCATAAGGTCGTTTCTGGGGCGCCTCAAAAACTTCCTCTCCTCTTCCCAGGCGGCCATCTGGGCTCTCATGTCCTACTTTTGAGAAACTCAAAAGTAACATCAACATACGTGGTTGGACCATAAGGACACGATCACAATCGATCTCCCTTTGTGTCGGACCGGACCTCCTGCCGACCTCCCTCTGTGCTATATGTGCCCCGTCTCTCCCATCCCTGCTGCCTCTCGCCCACACAGGCGGCCATCTGGGGAGTCATGTGGTTCGACCACAAGGACATGCTCACAATCGACTTTCCTCTGTCAAACCCCCCGCCCCTGCCGACCTCCCTCTGTATTTTCTGTGCCCCGTCTCTTCGCTCCCTGCTCTCTCGCTGCCCAGGCGGCCGTCTGGGGAGTCATGTGGTTCGACCACAAGGACATGCTCACAATCGACCACAACCTCTATGTTCTCTGTCGCTCATTGCACCCCTTTTCGCACCTCCCTCCATCTCCCCTCCCTCCCCGATTCAGGCGGCCATCTGGGGAGCCATGTGGTTCGACCACAAGGACATGCTCACAATTGATCTCATTGCCAAGCTCTTCTTCACGGGTCAGTTGTGTCCTATTTTCCAAGGACTCGTTTTAAGACTCCTCGATACAGACATCGATTCCTTTTATGGACGATTTCTTTTTCACTAGTCAGGTTCCTCTGTGCTCCATGTCGCCCTCTCCCTTCCTCGCGCCCCCTACCGTAGCCTGCCCTACCACAACCCCTCTCCTTTACACCCACCCCCACCTCTCCCTCCACCTTCAAACCCAGCACCCCCCCCCCCACCACCCCCCCCCCCCTCCTCCTCTCCCATCCTCCTCTCCCCCCTGTCGTACCCGTTTCCATCGTCCTATGCCCTTCCTGTTCCGTTTCTATCCGTTTTCGCCATCTCATAATCTTGTTTACCTTGCACTTTCACTCTGTACCTGCCCTCGCCACTCTTTTCATTTCAGCTGCCTGCTTTTGAGTCGACGCAAAAGCCCTCTCATAATCTTGTTTACCTTGTTTTTTCACCCCGGCCCTGCCCTCGCCTCCCATTGCAGCTGTCTCGCTAGCAGCTGCGGCAGGATTTCTGCTCTATGGCGGCAGGTAAGTTCGTGTGAGGTTTGAGAGTGTCTTGTTCCTCCTCCCCTCCTCCCCTCCCATTTCTTTTTTGCATGTCCGCTTTGCTATCCAGTTCGTTAAGCGACTTTATCAAAACGCCTTTGAGTTTTTTCTCCTTTTTGGCTTGCATAGTCACCTTCCCAGCATTGCACATTCGCATTTCCTCTCTCGCCCACTTTACTCTCTCTGCCCTCGCTCCCTCAGTCTGTCGCTCCCTCACTTCTCCCCCATCCTATACTCTCCTCCCACCTCCGCTTCCCCTCTCACCCTCAGGCACTTCCGCATGCTACAAGAGTTCCCCATTGAGTCCCTCCCTGCCCCCTCCCCCCTTTCCCACTTCCCTCCTCTCCCCCTCCCTCCCCCCCCCCTTCCTTCTCCCCTTTTTTTCGTTTTCCCTCCTCCCTCTCTCCTATCAGGCTCTTCCTCATGCTGCGGCAGTTCCCCATTGAGTCACGGGGTCGCAGAAAGAAGCTTCACGAGGTGAGAGCCGTTTCTTGTTGCATGAGGTTTTAGAATCGCCTCATCTCTCCCTTTGGGCGTTCTTCTCTTTTTTTTTTTTTTGGAGTCCGTTTTTTTTCTCTCTCCAGTCTTTGATTTATCATCGTGTGCTTGCGTCAAATGTTTCAGTGGGTTCATCTCTCATACTCTCCCCTCCCATTCACACAGTCCGTTCTTGTGCCTGTGTTCGTGCCCTCTGCGCTTCCCTGTGTTACCCTATGTTACCCTGTATTTTCGCCTGTGTTTGCCTGCAGGTCGGCTTCGTGACGCTCATCTGCTTCTCCTGCTTCATCGTCCGAGCTGCCGTGGTAAGTGCTGCTGCACTCAACATGTGCCACCAGGGGTGCATCTGAACTGTGCTCCATGTATCATGGGTACATCATGGGTACATCATGGGTGCATCATGGGGGCATCATGGGTTCATCATGGGGGCATCATGGGTTCATCATGGGGGCATCATGGGCGTATCATGGGGACAGCATGGGGGGCATCATGGGCGTATCATGGGGACAGCATGGGGGTATCATGGGGGCATTATGGGCGTATCATGGGGACAGCATGGGGGTATCACAGGGGCATCATAGGGGCAGCATGGGGGCAGCACGGGGGCAGCACGCTCTCCCCTCTTTTTCTGATCAAATCAGATCGCCTATTCAGCGCTTGTGAGCAGTTCATGGCTAGACGTGGTGGAGGACCCCTGGGTCAATGTTAGCAAGCTTTTGTTCTGCAGCATTCCCCATTCCTCTTCATTACCCTTCTTTGCCCCCTCTTTCCGCACTTTCTTTTCCTGCCCCTAACCTACCCGTTTCCCCTTTTTGTATCCACGCAGATTGCCTATTCAGCCCTTGTGAGCAGTTCATGTCTGGACGTGATGGAAGGCCCCTGGCTCAACGCTGTTACGACATTCCTCTTGATTTCGCCGTCCCTCCATCTGCCCTCCTTTCTTTTTCGCCCTCTTCCTCCCTCTGCACAGATCGCCTATTCAGCGCTCGTGAAAAGTTCATGGCTGGACGTGGTGGAGGACCCCTGGCTCAACGTCGCCTACTATGCTGTAAGTCGCCCCCTCCCCCCCCCTCACCCCTTGCACCCACACGCACCTGCACTTATATGCCGATTGTTACACGATCCTCCCCAAGGTGGGTGGCTGGACGTGGCGGAGGACCCCTGGCTCAACGTTGCCTACTATGCTGTAAGCCCCCTCCCCCCTGACCCCCCCCCCTCCTGCACCCACACGCACCTGCACCCACACATCAATTGTTACAAGATCCTCCTCAAGTTGGCTGGACGTGGCGGAGGACCCCTGGCTCAACGTTGCCTACTATGCTGTAAGCCCCTGCACCGACATGCCCACATGCCCTGCACCCACTTTATTCAATCGAGCACCCACGCTGTTCTGCGCTCTCCCCTCTGCTCTCTCGTCCTTTTTACAGTATGTGCACTTCATCCCCTTCATTTCTCCTCACTCACCACCCCCGCTCCCCCCCCCTCCCACCCAATCCTTTCCCCACTTCATTCCCCCCCTTTTTTCCCCTCCGCCTTTCTCCTTGTCCTTTCGCCCCATTCTCACTCCCCTTCCCAGTGTGTGGAGCTCATCCCAGCAGCCCTGGTGCTCTACATTCTCCGCAAGCTGCCTCTGAGTGCATTCCCTTTCATCCCTCTCCCTTGCCCCGTCTCCCTCTTCACCTCCTGCCACTGCGTCTCTTCCCCCTTCCCCAGTGTGTGGAGCTCATCCCAGCAGCCCTGGTGCTCTACATTCTCCGCAAGCTGCCTCCCAAGCGCAATGCCAACACCCAGGCCCTGCGCTAAGCGTCTGGATAGCGCTTGCATTCACAGGGCACACTCATTCAGTGGGGCGATACAGTGCAGTGCTGCAATTGAGTAATATAGTGCATTGGCTGTGCAGTGATACAGTGCCTTGACTCAGTGCGGTGTGTTGCATTGTGCGCGCGCTAATACAGCCGTGCTTCAGGTGCTGCGCTAGGCAGTCGTTGCAGATGGGTGCATACCTATGTGAGTACATGCAGCACTGAGCGTTCTTCAGAACAACAGAGAATATACGTGGAGTAGCGAAGTCCCCTCAATGTGCTCACTGCAAGTCTGGCAGTGCTAGTCAGTTGCACCACCAAGCTGTCAATGCTCATAGCCCTCTGCCACACTCGCAATGGCAGTCAAGTATTGCTAGGCTTGCTCCATATTGTAATGACAGTAGAGGAGGTTGTTTGTGAGTGTTTATGGATCCTTTGTGTTGCTATTTCTGCACTGCACTACCACTTCTCTTCTGAATACTGTACCAGTAATGCAACTGAACGGTAGAACATTAGCTATGAGTACTGGCACCCATGGAAGTCAACAATCTATGCCATTCATTGCATCAGCATGGTGTATAGAGCAGCAGTGAAGGAAATACGGTAATAAAGTGACTGCTTACAGTGGAAGGAACAAGGCTTGGGAATATGAGAGGAACACTCCCCCCTCCCCCTCCCCCTCCCCCTTCCTCCACGTTGCAACACCCCAACAACCTTTTCACCTTTTGACCCTTCTTATTCATCCTCCTCGTCATCATCATCAGAACCATAGGTTGATAGCAAGTTGGTTAACGCAGCCTTCCCCTTCTCCTCGTCATCTCGCCGCAAACAGCCAGCACTGGAACCCCCTGAACCATCAGCATTGCCTCTAGCAATTTCAGCACCAGAATCCCCTCTAGAATCCTTGCTCCCCGATGACCCTTTCCCTGCATCTCTGCTCGTCAATGTCGCCCTGTCTGGAGCCTTGCTCTTTGCCTTCACCATAAACGCCACCTTCACAGGCTTGGCTTCAAAAGCCGGCCGAGGGTCCTCCTGGACAAATCTGCTCCGTCGATTTTCGAAAGCTGAACTTGCTGCTGCTCCTGCTGCTCCTGAACCTGCTGCTGCTGACGCAACGGACCCACCTGCACCAAGTGTGGCTGCCAGCGCTGCTTCATCTTGAGTTGTTAACGCCGTCCTTACTGATTCTGCAGCAGCAGATGGTTCTCTTGAGCCCATAGCTATACCATTATCACCAAAAGCAGCACCACCGCCTGCTTCAGCTTCGCCTCCATTGGCGGCAATACAAGCCCTTTTAACCCCTCCTTGCTGGTCCTTGTTATTGGCTTCAGCTCTCTCACCATCTTCCCCCTCATCCTCCTCGTCACTCTCTATCCTCTTTACAAACTTCTCCGATTTTCTAAACACAATTTTCTTTATCAGCTCCTCGTCTTCTTCCGTTAGTTGTTTCGGATCCGCTAACACCCCTCCTCCGCTCCCACCAGCTCCACCGGCCGATCTCTGAAGCACCTCTAGTACCGCTGCTGGATCTAGGGTTGCTTGTCGCGCACGCATCGATTTCATTTCGTCCAAGGCTGCGAGAATGTCCATCTCCATCTTGGAGTCGAGGGTTCGATTCTCGAGAGCGCGCATCGCGTCGCCCATTTCCTCCTCCTCGCGCTGCCGCTTCGCGGCCGCCTTCTGCTCGTCCGACGCCCGCCATGGCTCGAAGTTTCTAGAAGCTCCAGATTCCATCTCGTAGTCGCTATTCTTAGGATCCGTCTTCATGACCATCTCAGCGGAGCACTTAGTACACTTGAAATAGAAGCGGAATTTCATGAGACCGAGGTAAGTATCCCCGACGACGTCCTCCTTCCGGCAGTTGAATTTTGTTCCCTTGTACATGTACGTCCCGCAGGTGTTGCATCGGATGCTCATCGGAAGCATCATGCGCACTTTCATCTGCTCATTTTTCAGCGGGATGCGCTTCGGAATCTTCGACGGATCGAAGTCCGGCGGGTAGTATTTGTTGAGAACCTTCCGCTCACCCATGGCTGCTGGCTTGAGAGACCGAGATTTACTGGTGAGGAAGGATCAAAAAGCAGTGCAAGAGTATGCTTGAACCAACAATAATAAGAAGCTTCGATATCAGAAGGAGCGCAAGGTCCGTTCCTGAGACGGATGAGTCTTCCTCCTGTGAACAAGCTCTCTCTTAAAGATATTTGCATTCCCGGCTGAAATCTGTGAAAGCGAAGGAGGAGGGATTCCGTTGGGGTGGTTTACCCGATATGTAAAGTTGAGCCTGGTTGGGGCTCCCTACTGCCCAGATTTGAACTTCTAAAGTGGTAAAACACTTTCTCAGGCCGTGCCAATTTACTCTTTCGCGGTACGGTACGGTGATGTTCGGACAGGGGCAGCTCGTATCAGGATGTTTCAGTGCCTCGCAGTTTCGCGATTGTGTATCCCTTCACGAAGACGCTGTTTACACCTGTTCTCCGGTATTTCCACACCCCCTACCCTCGTTTTTGCCAGACACCCTATACGGCTTGAGGATCGATGAAACGGACACCCTGACATCACGGGTCTATTAGTAACGAGCCGTCAGGTTCTGGCCATTCGAAACTCTAATTTGTAATCAGGGTGAGCGGGGAAAATTCCCAGTGCCATAATGTTAGAGTGTTAAACTCGCATTGAGGTCGTGTCTTATTACCTTCGAAACTCCCGCGTTCGTTTCTAACTACCTTTGAAATCAGATTTTTACGAGGGTAGGTACCCCAGGGCGTGAAGATAGGGGGTGTGGAATTATCGCAGGATAGGTGTACAGCAATATGTGTAGTCTTTTATGTAGGATAATATTGCAGCAATATTGTGGAATCTCTGGTCGCTGGTTCTTTATCTCCGTCGCTGGTTCGTATTTGCCGATGCTGCTAGTCCCATCCAGCAACTTTTTTCATACCAGAACTTTAGAGCTCGAACTAGTGTGTGTGTGTGCTCTATGCAGGCGTTCATCACGCCCTTGTTTCGCGTGTTAAGCTGCCGACGTGCCAAGCAACTTCTGAGCATAGTCCGTTAGCTGCCAGCATAACAACTCAGCCATCTGTAGGCTACTATTTTCGCGACCTTGTTACCATGGCAAAACGCATTCCTATGATCAAGTTCCCAATTCGGTCCCGAGGTGAGCCTCATATTCTTGCGCCGACATCTTGCTTTCGCTATGCTCAAGCTCATCCTGCTTCCATGCTGATTAATATCCTTCTTTTCTTCAACGTGTTCATTTCCTACCCACTGTCTCAGCTCCAACACCAGCAGCTGCACAAACGTCCCAAAGAAATACCCCTTCGCTTCAACAATTCACATCAGCACCACCAGGAGCATCCTCAAAATCGCAAACACCAGCCTCGTCACACCAATCTCCCGCTCCCACTGCCAGCTCTTCTTCATCCTCTTCACAAGCAGCTCCAGTAATAGAATCCATAGCGGTTCCCAGTTTCGGTGAGAAAGGCGTAACGAAGACTAATCCTAAGAAGCCGGGGCCTCTAGCAGCAAGTTTGCAACCCAGACGGAGGCCGATGACAGATGAAGAGATTGATCTGATAATGGTAAGTCATTCTGTCCGTTCAGGTACAATTTTTTCAGTCCTTAAAAATTAACCCCAACAGAGGCCTATTGCAGATGATGAGATTGACCTGACAATGGTAAGTGATCCTGTCCATTCAGGTTAGACATCGCAAGGAAATATATTTAAAAATTTAAACCCCATTTGTGCTTTCAAAATACGCAACCCGTTCCCGTTTCATGTTGCGGTGTTCTTGTGTTACTGCATGCAAACATCTTGTTACCACCCTCTGACTGAACCCTGCTCTCCCCCTTCGACCCCTTACATGTTTTCATCCTGTTGCACCTAACAGAGCGGCGGTGCAGTCTTCCTTTGATGTTCTGAATTTATCATGGTTCACGTCATTGAGGATTCGCTGTGGATTATTTTTCTTCGTGCCAGGAAAGCACGCCTCTGTAATCAAATTCGCTAAGGTCGCAGCAACAGAGAAGTAAAGGGCGGTACAGTGGTGGATGGCTAGTCAGCTTTAGCTAGACACAAGATTCCCAGACTGGATGTGAATGGCAGCTGCTGGCTCATTGATTCAGTACTTCAACATTACTGGTTACATTGCAAAATGTGCTGCTGCTAATAATGCTTTCCTGTGCAGGCTATTGTCATGCGCATGGCTCCTGGGAAGTTTGCACAACCTGTTCCCCAGGAACAGTATTACAGGATTCAGTGGAACACTGAAGTGAATACCTGAGCATTATTATCACAGTGCTTCGCATGCAACAAATTGCATACCGCATGTTCATCAGCAGCACACTAGCAGCAGTCAGGGAATGGCACATGGAAGCACATGCCTGAGAAGAGAAGAGCCATGTGACAGGGACAAAGCTGCAACAGAACTTGAGGTTGCAGAAACAATTCCAGAGGACCATTGAAGCACAGGAAAGAAAATGGGCACGAGACGGTAAAAACTGACAGAAGGGTAACAGTACGTACGGCCAGGGTTAGCCAGATGCAAATGAGTTGCAGATAGCAGGGTTGTTACAGGAGGAAAAAAACAGCAGTCAGATGAGTAGCAGGAAATGGCGAGCAGTGGTGAGGGAATCAGTGGTTTTGGGGCAGCTGGTGGTCAGAAGGTTATGGTAGGCTGTCAGTGGGAGCGAGCGATAGGAGCAAGCATGAGATGGCGCGGTGAGGTGAACTGTGAGTTGTCCTGCAAAGAATCACCTCTCCTGCACATACGGTTATAGTAGGCTGGCTGTCAGTGTGAGTGATAGGAGTGGCCACGGAACCATGTGATGAGGCGGAACGGAACGGAATGGCTTTCTTCTAGAGGAGCAGAGCAGTCAGAGTGGAAGGGGAAAGATGACATTGATGCTTGTTGCGCTGCCTCGGGCAGAGAGGCAAGATGCCTTTATGGAAACCCTCAGGTGGATAGCAGCAGCGCATTGCTTAATGGGGTGGTGAGCTGGCGGCTGGTGGCTGGCTCAGGCTAGGGGACCCCACATTACTACTTGGTGGTCTGGCTTTTTCTAATCCCCCGCATCTTCCCTCCACTCGCACCACCACCACCACCACCACCACCACCACCACCACCACCCTCACTTTCCAAAGATCTGGAAGCAACAACCTTCGTTGCACCTCCCCCTCCTCTTCCCTCCCCTCCTCTTACCTCCCCTCCTCCTCCCGCCCCTCCTCCTCCTGCTGCAGCTGCCGGTCCCAGCACAGACCTACCCCTCTCCTCCCCTTGCTGCACCTTCTTCACCTTTTTAGTTGCCTCTCGCACCTTCCCACCCTTCTCCCCTGGACCCCCAGCCATCCCCCCTCCCCCTCCACTTCCCCCTCCCCCCAGCCCTCCCTCTGGGGGAATTGTTATACCCCCAGGGGGGACGGCCCCACCTTTACCCTTGATGGCTGCTTCCAGGCTGGCAGGGGAGAGCATGGACGGGTGCACAGCAGGGGGCGGAGCGCGGGGACTGTCTGCGGTACTGAACGGGATCTGGAGCGCAGGGAGTGGTGGGAAGGGCTTGCGGAATGGGCTCCCTGATGCAGTTCCCGCTCCTGCTGCTGCGGGATTGCCTGGAAAACCAGGAGAAGCCACGCTGCTGCTGTTGCTGCTGGAGCTGAGGGGAGGAGCAAGAGCAGGGGAAGCAGCAGAGGAGGCAGCAGAGGTTGGTCTAGAAGCAGAGGCACTGCCGCCGCCGCCCACAGCACCAGCAGCAGACGGGTACAAATCCCCATAAGCCTCAGCAGCACCATCAGACTCGCCCCGGGATGATGCAGACACAGGGCTACGGCCTGCCCCTGCCCCTGCTGCCCCTGCCCTGCTGCTGCTGCTGCTGCTGCCACTGCGGCTGCTGCGATGCCGGAAGGTGGAGAGGGGTTGGCAGCGGTGTGGGCGTGAGTGCGAGTGGTTGAGCCGGAGACGGAGCGGCGGAGAGGCAGGGCGGCGGTGGGAGGCAGGGCGGCGGGCTGGGAGGGCGTGCCGGTGTGAACTCGGCGCAGGGGCGCTAACCCCACCCCCCCCTGCTGCCCCTGCTGCCCCTGCTGCTGCTGCTGCTGCTGCTGCTGCTGCTGCTGCTGCTGCTGCTGCTGCTGCTGCTGCTGGGACTGAGAAAGCCGGTGCTGCCGCTGCGGTTTCTGCCCTTGCTGCTGCAGCTGCTGTTGCTGCGGCTGCTGATGAGAGGCAATCCCCTGAGGGTTCATGGCGTCCCACTGAAGCTCTGGAGGCACAGTTGGGCTGCAGAAATCAGGGGTGGGGGACTGGGGGTAGTTCATGCCTCCTCCCATGCCTCCACCCAGGCCCTTCCCAGGAGAATTACCAAATGCAGCAGGATTGGGCGGTTGAGCCATCTGGTTTGGCATGTGGTTCGGCGGGAGGTTCGGGTAGAGTTCTCGCTCAGGAACGCTGCGAGTGCGGAAGAAGGGAGGGAGGACTAGGGTAGGCGGCCCCTCTTGATCATGCTCCTGTTGTGGTGCCTTCATGGGACCCCCCTGCTGCTGGTACTGCTGCTGTTGATACACTTGCTGCTGCTGCAATTGCTGAGGGTGATGATTATAGGGATGGGGCGCGTTCGGTCGAGGGGCATTACAAGGTACCATTCCCCCCATCCCCATGCCTCCTGGTCCGCCCATACCTCCCCCCATTCCCCCGCCCACACCTCCCCCCCTCCCCCCGCCCATCATTTCCCCAGGAAGTTTATTAGAGGATGTTCGGTCCCCACTCATGCTCCTGCGCATAGGGGGAACCGCAGCTCCCCCAACAGCCCCCCCGCCAGGGCCCCCACCCCCCATAGCTCCCCCCATCCCCCCGGGCATTCCCCCTGGCGCTCCCCCCGCCCCTGGCCCCATTCCCCCAGCCATCCTTGTTGCGCCCTTACCCCCCCGCGCCTGCTGCTGCTTCCCTGTGCCCTCCCCATAGTTCCCGCTTCCCCCACTTCCCCTTAGCTTTCCGCCCCCATAATTCCCGCTTCCCCCACTGCCCCCTAACTTTCCGCCCCCATAG